ATCAATAATAGGCAGTATCAACTGAGAAATGGTTCTTTTTATGATCTGTGTGTAAAGCAGTTAATGGACCTATAAAGTGAAAAAACAATGTGTTCTTTTTATAGTATAATCAATGTGAGGCTTAAAGGAGAGTTCGGGGTCAATCCACAGTCTGAGATATTTAAATGAATCAACTTACCAGGGGCAATCCATCATCAGAAACAGTATTTAAATCACAGGAATTTGGATGACTATGTCACCTACGAAATACCATGCTGCAGAACTTCTTTTTATTCAATACAAGTTTGTTATTATGAAACCAGTTTCGAATCGAGCTAAAATCAAAATGTAAAGAATTATGGAATAATTACATAAGTGTCATCAGCATAAAGATGAAAAGAACTATTTGAACACATTTGAAGCGGATAATTGATAAAAATGAAAAAAAGAAGTGGTACCAAAGCGGTGCCTTGTGGAACACCCTTATCAACAATTAAATAGACTGAGACTGATACCTTGAAAGACAACACGCTGATGTCTATTATGAATGTAGGTATTAAACCATAGTAGAGCATTTTGATTTAAACCAATAGAATATAATTTATGAAGGAAGAGGTAGCAATCAACCATATCAAAGCCTTGGAAAGATCGATAAAATGCTTTGGTGGTTTGGGAACCACTGGTGCAGAGTAGTTTTATATTCATTATTATTTGTGGAACTAAACAAGGTTGTCCTCTTCCCCGATAATGTTCAGTGACTCTTAGTCATACCTATCAGAGTTGTGTTTGTTTCTCTGAGGAACATCTTTTGAATGAAAACTGAACTAACTACTGTTACCTAATGTTAGCGCTCTTTCCAAGCTTACAACCCGGTCTAGCTAGTTAGCCGGCAAGGTAGGTTGGATGTGCAGCTTTGTTAAGTTATAAAAGTGAACTCCTATCTTCTATTCATTTTGGGCAGATGCTGAGAGATGTTTAGGTTTCTAACCACTGACTCCACCTCCATCTGAATGGTGTCCTGTTTCCAAATACTAATGAGGGCACATTTTGACTTGTTGAACAAGCATTTTTTATTAAAGGAGCTATCTCAGAGGTGTGTCCAGGGTGTGAACTGCTTGGCTCCTCTTAATAAGACATGAGCTTCCCTGAAAACATGATTTGTGAAACTTTAGGGGGTCTCTAAAATATTGACAGTGTGCTATTTTTGCCATACATTTCTATTTTTTATATTTTCATCATCATGGATTATATGTACTGTTGATGTATGATTTGTGCATGTATATGTGCATTTAATAAAAATACTGCTATTTATGCCATAACCTTTGAAGCGTAGTAGTACAATATCATTAACTTCAGATCAGAAAATATCAGAAAGAAATACACATAAAATAAATGTTCCTAGTCCACAAGGGTGTGGCGAATCTCCATTATTAATTCATTTATCTGTTTTGTAGTTAGCATACTGTTCATCACAGTCAGTCCACCCTGTGTGACAGTAGAAAAAGGGAGCGCCCCCGAAAGTCATAGTATAGTTTGCACACTATGTGTGTTGGTTCCTTTTTGGCAAAAATTGTACTATAAAAAGGATAAAAATAAATAAAAAAGGAGCACCAAATCATTTTATGGTATAATGGTCAGAAGTGGAGCATGAACCTGAAGCAATCCATGTTTGGAAACTGTTGACAATCAGATATATGCATTTTTAAAAAGCCCATTATCCTGTTATAATGCGACACTATTTCCTAACTAAAAGCCAGAACAGGGAGATGCATTTTCAAATTCATGTGTACTTTAGTCTTAGTTTCTCAAAGGTGCAGTGGGTAGGATTTAGTGGCATCTAGCAGTGTAGTTGCAGATTGAAACTCCCTCGCTTCACCCTCATCTGTTAAGTGTGAAGAAGACGCTATGGGGGCTGCAAAATGCACGAAAGACGCAAACAGCCCTATCTAAAGCCAGTGTTTGTTTTTTGTTTTTCTGAGTTACTGTAGAAACATGGTAGTTCATGCTGTCCACGGAAGACGACCTGCAGTGTCTTGTAGATAAAAATGGCTCATTCTAATGAAGCAAAAACACAATGATTCTTATCAGTTGTCTTATCTGTATGTTTTATGGATCCCTGGGGGAAACTCGGTTATGTTACAGTTTCTCAAGTTGCTAAACAAAGAGAAAGAATAAGAAGTATGTGGAAATACGTGCATTATACTACAGTATATAACAACAATATATATATTGGGAAATAGAAAATAATACATGTAAAATGTATATTATATATAAATGTACATGTATATTCCATGTATATTTTTTATATAATAGCAGGGTATTAGATTAGACAAGAATAATGCTGACAAATGGATCTATAAGTGTACTGATGAAAAAGAGAGAATAAAAAAAGAGAATAACAGTACACAGTATAATTGCAATAATAATGTCAGAGTAAATATGAGTATTGCACAGTTTCACAACATACAATAATGAAAACACACATATGAATATTATATTCAATCTCTGCCAATAGATCCTCCTAAATGTTGCACAACCTTTAACACTCTCTTTGCATTATAATATAAGAATTAATGTCTTTTCACAACTGAAGGAAATCCAGTCCAAACATGATTCACGTCAAAAATGGAAAACAGGAACATGATGACAGTGCAGCTGTAAAGCCAACACAGCACTTTGTGTCAGGGTGGATGTCACTTTTATTTTTAGTGCAGCTGTTTTGTACATCAGATGATATACATTTTTCTTCTGCAACCAACCACTTTTTGTTATGATCACACAATGTCATTTTTTGCTAATTCAGTTAATCAGTCATTCTATAAGATGTCAGAAAATCATGAAAAATTGCTCTCACATTTTCAAGTTACTTGTTTTGTCTGACCAACAGTCCAAAACCCAGATATACAATTTACACTGACACAAAATGGTCAAAAGAAGCAAATCCTCACATTGAAGAAGCTGGAATCAAACTGGATAAATTGGTATATCTGCTTGATTACTTAATGAACTGATTAACAGATTATCAAAGTTGTTGCTGACTGACCAAACAGTTAATCATCTTGTGGTTTCAGCTCTAGTTTGGTCAGAGATGTTCTTATGCCTCTATCCTGTGTTTGTGAGTTCACTCTAAAAGGAGGTGTTTATGAAATGAAGATCTGCTTGAGTTTGATCAACTGGATCACTGAATGTAGTTATTGAAATTAAATGAAAGCAGTAAATCTATATTTCAATCTTTGTCAACAAATCCCCCCCCCCCAAAAAAAAGCTGCAGCCAAAGCTTGATGCAGCTTGTTCCTGACACGTTCCTTTATTATGAGCATGCGCACTGTAGTGTACTTGTCTATTAATCCACTGTTGAATAGTCCCCAGCAAATACACCTCTTACTTCTGTTTGTGTGACGTTTGATATAAACTACAGTACACAGCTGTTTTAGATTACTTTGTAAAAGTTAAACTATATTCTGAGCCAGAAATCTTACATACACAAAACATTCTAATTTTATGTTCATAGCCGGATTTCTATCACATTTTATTCCTAAATAACATGGCAGTTCTTTCTAATATGTTGGTTTTATGAATGCTGACAGTTATTTTTTTCATTTATGGAGTGATAAAAAGAAATCTAAAATTCCCTCTGTAAAAACCATTGAAACAAGAATTTTGAACCAAGCAGCATCCAATGTTCAGATTTATCTTCTGGAAATATATGTAATATGTGTATTTACACAGAATATATGGAATTCAAAATGATAATAATTGTCTCAATGCAAGTAACCAACTGGGGAAGTTTCATGTCTCATATCTAGACCAGTGCACAGTATTTTAACCCTCACACCTACAACCTTCCCTCCAACATGGTAAATGGTAAATGGAAATGGACCTGTACTTGTATAGCGCCTTTCTAGTCTTCCGACCACACAAAGTGCTTTTACACTACGTGCCACATTCAACCTTTCACACACATTCACTCAGTGATGGTAAAGTCCATCGAACAGAAACTAACTCATTCATACACATTCACACACTTACCTGCTATGCATCGGGAGCAATTTGGGGTTCAGTATCTTGCTCAAGAATACTTCGACACGTGGCCAGGAGGAGCCGGGGATCGAACCAACAACCTTCCGATTGGGGGACGACCCGCTCTGCCTCTGAGCCCCAAACCATGAACTCATACGAGGTGAACCTAGTGGACAAGAACAAACTGTTTTCCAGACTCCATCTAATTCATGTTTTTATTGTGTAGTCGTCACAAATATGAATATACTGTTTGTCCCAGTTACCGACAACTGGCATGAAGTAGACACAACTGTGGAATGATTTGTAAAAACAAAACAAAAACAGTCTATGGCTTACCGAGCACGACACTGAATCTATTTACAAAAACAAAACAAAAAATCAACTCACTGACAGTTTAAAAATTGGAGCAAAAGGTTTTTTCTTTTATAAATATAAAAAGGGGAAAGGAAAGAAGGCCGCTATGGGCCTAAAGAGGGGATAAAGTCTCTTTCACAGAGACAGCTTAACACTCAACAGAGTTATACACATCCCATTTTCTGTTATGGCACCAGTATCAAAGCATGCCCTGGACTTGCTGGTTTCCATCACGGATGCTTTGTCTTAAGCAGGTTTTAACAGAGCAAGTAGGCACTGAACCAACAAGTAGAATAGAATAAGAACTAAACAAATAAAAAGACTAAAAATTAGAGATAGATCTTGACTGTCACATGAGGTATTGTGGATCAAAGCATTTCTGTACATTGTCTCATTTTTCCTTGTTTTTTGGAATAGTTCGGAAAATCATATTACGTAATTATAAAAAAAGATCACATAGAATCTACATAAAAACAAATGAGGATGTCAACACAATTTTCTATGAGAAAATTCAAACCTAGAATGGCAGTATATTGACATGTATATGTATAAAAAAAAATGTAGCAGCAAACAACAAGAGAAAAGCATTGTTTTTATTCCATTACGTTTTTTTTTTGTTGTTTTTTT